GGAATGCGTTTGAGGCCTTGGCGGGCTGGGGGGCTTCCTGGGGGGATGGAGAGAAAGAGCAGGTTGGCAGGAGGAGGGGGTCCGGCCGGGAACAATAAATCAAAGGGAAGGGGAGTTACTGCCCGGCCGAGGATCTTCTGAAACCCTGGGCCGCAGCGGGAGCCCGGGAGGAGCAGGGCTGATGGCTGCCATTGGGGTCCCGCAGCGAGACTTCCCCTGCCCGCTGGCGGAGGGCAGGCAGGGCGGCCCTGCCGGCACGGCACCCCAGCAGCATGACCCCCTGGCAGTACGGCACCCCAGCACCCAGGCAGCACAGCACCCAGGCATCACGGCACCCCCGGCAGCAGGGCACCCCTGGCACCACGGCCCCACGGCCCAGGGCTTGGCTCTCCCCTGGCATGGCCAAATCCGGCACCTGCGGGGAAAGGTGCCTTGCCGGCTGCGGGCAGTGCTTCAGGGCTCAGGGCTGCCCACGTCCCTGCGGACGGGCTCTTTGCATCCTCGGGTCATTTTCCTGGGGTGCCCTCCCGCCCCCGAGCAGCCCGGCACAGCCGGGATGGGCAGTCTGGCACATGCCCCGCCAGGCGTCGGGAAGGGGCTTCAATTCCAGCTCATCCTCTTGGTCATTTCTTTTTTTTTTTCCTCCTAGGAATATCACTACAAGGGCTGTTCCACTTCCATGTGCTGGGCCAGGGGCTGCTGCTGGCACTGGGTGCCAGTCCCTGGGTGGATATGGGTCCCTGGGTGCCAGCCCTCTCGGGAGCCAAAGCAAGCGCTTCATAACCAGCACCGAGCGCCTTCCACCAGTCCCACCAGCAGCCCCATCCCCATCGCCCCGCCGCGGGGGAGGCCCCTCCGGCCTATCTCTTTGGCATATCTCCAGTGCCAGACGGCTGCAGGCTCCCGGTAATCCGGGTTAATAAACAGGGAGCGGTGCTGGCAGCGGGGTGGCCCCTCGCCCTGCCCTGGCTGGGGTCAGGGTGCCCACGCCACCGGTGCCCGCCTGTGCCCAGGAGCCGGCATCGGGCAGCCCGGTCCCCGCGGGGCCTGGCGTGGCGGCGCCGCCCTGGCCCG